ACACACACACACACACACACACACACACACACACACACACACACACACACACACACACACACACAGCTGCTGATAGTGTCAAATTGAATCTTTGTTTCCTGCGACAGGTTCAATCACTCCTATGTTTGTTCGGCTCCCGTGTGGAGGGGTGGGGGTAAGTAATGCTTGTTTGCTTTGTTTAAAAGGGGCTAAAACAGCTCACACTTCCTGCACTATTCAACATCGGTTTCCAAGCCAGTTTATCAACATGAGACTCGGTTTTCTGGTCTTAGGTGGACAGCGACACCATTTGGAACGAGGTCCACTCCTCCAGCGCGGCTCGCCTCGCCGTCGGCTCGGTGGTAGAGCTTGTTTTTAAAGTTGCTACTGGAGAGCTAAAGGTAACCTTGATTACACCTGTCTGGTGCTTCTTGCTCTGTTTCCCACTGCGATGAAGCAAAGTTAATGTGTTTTATGTGCTGCAGTTCTGCCAGTCTTTGAAAATTCAGAGTGAAGCCCAAAGTTGCCACTTAAAATTTAAGATACCCCCTTTCATTCGTTCTGCATCACCCAGCCAGAGCAGGCTGAGCTTGGTATTTCCAATGTCCTTTTCTTCAGCTTTTTCCAGTTCCACTTGAGAGATACCACAATGCTCAAAGGCCAAATGAGATATATATAACCCCCCCCCAGTGACTTCAGGATCTGCCCCGGGGTCTCCTCCCAGCTGGGGGTACCCAGAAAGCTTCTGAAGGGAGGCACCTGGAGACATTTTAATGAGACACCTGCAACACCTCAGTGGGCTCTTGATGAGAAGGAGCAGGGTCTCTACTCAGAGCTTCTTCTTCTTCTGGATGTCTTGGCAACCACATGCTGCTACTGAAACATGTGGTTGAAGTAGCAGCATGTGTCTGTTGCTGTTGCTAGGTGAAGTCCAAAACATCTTTGTGATTGCTTTGGTCACTAAAAGATTGTGCCAATCTCTTGAAGTTTGTCAGCTTGTCTCCAATCATTCACAAACTGGTGAGTCAGCAGTAGTGAAACTTTAATCAGTGCAGTTCACACTGAAAATCATTTGCCTTCAAAGTAAACGCGTCTCTGCTACCACCAACACGCTTCAATAGGTACAACTCCCCATGCACAGTTGGCCAGTGGTTGCAGACAACTCGGTGTCTACCCGAGAGCATCACTCACAAGTTTAAGCAAGAAGTTTCTAGAAAAAATAGAGCACGCAGCTTAATTCGTATTGGCTGCTTCACCTTTATCAATAACTGCAGAGTAGTTTACCTGCAGTCCCCATGTTTCACAGCTCACTGAGCTCAGCTCAGTTTTGTTTATATACCACCAAATCACAGCAACGGCCACCTTGAGGCGCTTTATATTATAAAGTAAAGACTCTACAATAATTGCAGAAATGTCCTATGAACAAGTACTTGGCAACAGTGGGAAGGAAAAACTCCCTTTTTAAAAGGAAGAAGCCTCTGGCAGAGCTTCTGTGGAAGAGAACCAGGATTAATAATAACTCCTGATTAAGCGCTCAGTGCATCATGGGAAGCCCCAAACACAAACGACCATCATTGCTTGTTTTAACCCAAAACTTGTTGCAGCCTTATTGCAGTTATTAAACCCTCCGTTCACTTTGTATTGCTGTGATTTAATGTTTGTCACACTCTCAGTGTTTCATTTGATTCGTGTGTAATAGTTTCCCACTTAAAGGCTAAGTTATGATGTTTTTTAATGGTGGTTAGGATCACAGAGGAAACAGTGATCAGTGCTAACAGACTCCTGTCGCTCCTGCCTCTTCTCTTTCCAGAATGGTTTCGCTGTGGTCCGCCCTCCTGGACACCATGCGGAGGAAAGCACTCCCATGTAAGGCCAAAGCCGTCACCGCACTGACTTGGAGACACTTAATCTGCACGTATACAAAAACCAGAGCTGGAACGGGCTCGTCTGGAATAGAAATTACATAAACCATCGAGTTTATTTGCACATAAAATCCTGAGAGCCTTTATTCTGCCAGCTTTCTCGGGCCCTGCTTTATTTATTTTCCATATTCTCCTCAAAAAGTGTTTAAATTGTCCCATTACAAAAATGAAAATGGAGCTCTGGCAAAGATATTCATAACAAACAGGAGCTCTTGCCCTCCGTCTGCTGCTGTTTCAGGGGTTTCTGCTACTTCAACTCTGTGGCCATCGCAGCCAAACTGCTGCAGCAGAGACTGAATGTCAACAAGATCCTCATTGTGGACTGGGTGAGTCACATGATCCTCTGTCATGTGACGCTAATCAGAAGATGCAGATTTTTCTCTTTTTTTAAGACCAGTTAGATTTATTTTCTTCTTCTACTCTCAGGATGTTCATCATGGCAACGGCACCCAGCAAGCCTTCTACGATGACCCCAACGTCCTTTACATCTCTGTTCATCGCTACGACGACGGCAACTTCTTCCCTGGAAGCGGAGCACCTGATGAGGTGAGTGTGTGACCTGATCAGAATTTTCCCACGTTTTACTTTTTAGTGGCCACTTCATTAGGCACACCTGTGCAGCTGCTTGTTAATGATATGTAACCAGCCAATCACATGGCAGCAGCTCGGTGCATTCAGGCATGTGGACATGGTCAAAACAACCTGCTGAAGTTCAAAGCCAGATCAGAATGGGTGATTTAAGTGACTTTGAACGTGGCTGGACTCCTGATCTGCTGGGATTTTGCAGCCACGTGATTGGCTGATTAGATAGTTACCTCAATAAACAGTTGACCTGGTGGCCAGGATACGCATATTAAATATGGCCAGCTTCACATAACAAGATAAAATTGTGTATAATTTAGCCCTGTCAGCTTCACGCTGTGTTTTATGGCTCAGTGTGATGAAGAAAAGTTGCCTTAAAGGGAGACGAGCTAAAACGAGTTGTTCCACACAGCGATTGAACTGAGGAGTATAAAATAAATAAAGATCATTTTAAACATGAACTCGAGTCCAAGAATAAAAACCGTAGCGCTGCAAAGGATAATGATAATTGGTCCACTTCAGCTTTTTGACAGTTTTTAGTTTGGTTGCCAGTTTTTTCAGTCCACGCTTCTTGAAGCTGGTCGCACTCCAAGTTTATGTTATCTGTCGGCTCCGGGTGTATCTTGTTCGTTTCCAGTTGAACTCTCTCCAAGGATCACTTTATTAATGCTCTGTTCTAATCGTAGTTTTTTAAAGACATCTTGATCAAAAGGCAAGAAATAATCTGAAGTAGGGAGAAGCATCCTGTAATTACCCAAAAGAAGCTAAAAAGCTTAAAAAAAGGACATTTTCCTTTTTATTTGTGTCGTACACTCACTTGAAGTTTGTGCTCCTCTCCACAGGTGGGCAGTGGTCCTGGAGTCGGGTTCAACGTTAACGTTGCCTTCACCGGAGGTCTCGACCCGCCCATGGGAGATGCAGAATACCTGGCTGCCTTCAGGTACCAGATAAACCTTCAGCACATGTGAGGGGTCGGTTTAACTTTTGACGACAAACCTCGGAGTTAAGCGCCCTGCCTTTACAGCCCTGCTCCCAAATAAAGTTTTCCCTTAAAGGGAGTATTTGACTTTGATCGTCATTGTTAGCAAGTTCAAAATTGACCTTAAAAACTGTTCAAGAAACCATCTCGATTAATCTTCATCATATGAAAGAGCGTGGAGAGAGCTCTGTGACAAACTTCCTACTGTTTCAGGCTCTGCTCTAAGCATGTGGGTAAAGATAAGAAAATACACAATGAAAGGTGAAATGGTCGGACGTCAGCGTGTTGTAATAAAAGCATCACAAAGTTTTCTTCCAGCTCTCTGAGAGCTCCTGTTCCTTTGTCATGATACCAAATGTTTCTTCAGGTGGATGTTTCTGTTTGGACGGCCATAACTAATCACATGATACTTTCTTAATAGATGAAAGGGATATATTCAGCTTTTTATCTCATGAAACAAATAAAAGTAACTGAGAAGCCGGAGCTGTGTGACGCTCATTAATTATTTGCCAAACTTTAATGAAGCAACTGTTTGTCATGAAATCAATAATGATTGAAGCTTGCTTCTCCTTTGTGCGTCGCCTTTGTGCAGATGATGTTGGCTGATGCACTGTTTAATCTTTGAACCCCGCCCTTCCACTCGCAGGTCAGTGGTGATGCCGATAGCCAACGAGTTTGCTCCAGACATCGTGTTGGTCTCTTCTGGCTTCGACGCCGTCGAGGGCCACCCTCCCCCGCTGGGCGGCTACACTCTGACATCCAAATGTGAGTGGGAGATTATCGGTAGTGTTTCTTATCTCGCGCTCCAGCCGCTCCACACGCGCGCGCTGCTGACCGAGCTTTGAAGCCGAGTCTAACAGAGCGCTAAAATGTTAACGAACTTCAGCAGCTGTGGAAAGCATTCAGATACATTTAAGTGCATTCACCTCCTTCCTGTAAACTCTCTTCAGGTTTCGGTTATCTGACAAGGCAGCTGATGACCCTCGCCGGAGGCCGTGTGGTCCTGGCTCTAGAGGGAGGTCACGACCTCACCGCCATCTGTGATGCCTCCGAGGCCTGCGTGGCCGCCCTGCTCGGCCAGGAGGTAAGGAGGTCACTCTGAAAGCACGCAAGGCTGGAATCCTAATAAAAGGACGTCTCAAAGGGTCGACGTTAGAAACAAAGACCGGTCGAAGCAGGACTCGGACCACGCTCCTTTGTTCCTGCTCATCTTACACATGATAACTGACTGGAAGTGGACATGAGAAGAAATGGAGAAGTTAGTGATTAAGTAAACACATCTCGGCTCTGTATGTTCTCAAAACGTATGCAAGTTTTAGCCAATAAGAAGAAGTTTGGCTTAAAGGGGTGGAGCTAAAATAGCCAGTTTTAATAGTGTGAGTCGACTCCATTTTACTCTCCAGCCGTAAAGACTAAAGTCGTCACAAAACCGGGCATGCAGCGTGGACACACAACAATTCAGGTTAATTTTATTTATATAGCATCAAATCCCAACAGCAGATTGCCTCAAGGCACGTTTTGCTGTAAGATAAAGAGCCTATAGTAATATGAGGAAGCGCTTTGGTGACAGTGGGGATGAAAAACATCCTTTTAACAGGAAGAAACCTCGAAAATAACCAGGCTCAAGGAGGGATGAGTGCGATGACTCAAGAAGAAAGTCACCTGGAACAGCGTTTCCCAACCACTGTACTGCGAGAAATGATCAGGTGTGCCGTGGAAGATTATCTGCTTCCACCTGAGCAGTAATGACCGGCGTGAGTAACGGGCAGAACAATTACAGTCTCTTCCACTAGAGGGCAGTACAACTACCTGCTCTAATTAAATAGGTTGCCGAGTGCCAGTGAAACAGAAGACGAAGAAGAAATGACACAATAGTCATGCTGTGAGTGAGGCAGCGCAGTACGTAATAGCAATCGATAAATATTTGAAACGACAAAGTAGTCGTAGTGCCCCGAGGGGGGAGTCGTAGAGCAGTGTTCAAAAGAAAGCAAAAAAGCTAACAGAGCCTGGTGCCCGGAGAAAAATGATCAATATGCTTTTTGTGAAATTTGTTTGGTGGGATTTTTCTCATGTGGAATATGTGGAATATGTGGAATATGTGGAACGGCTCTGAAAGGTCGGGAAACACTGACAGAACTTTCAAATGTCACCACAGGCTCATCAAGGATTCTGAGGCCGGGCAGCAATATTTTACTGGTTCATTTCTTTCTGGTTGTTTTCTTAAATAATTATTGTTATTTATTAGATTTTTTTTAGATATTTATATTTGTTGTATTTATATTATTTATTTATAAAATAGTCTTTATATTATTATTGTATTTATTTGTTGATCCACACTTAAACTCCGGGGCAGTCGATAGACGTCGCTGTCCTGGAGCGGCTGAGATTCATTAAAAAAGGCTGGCAGGTCATCCTGTTGAAGCTGTTGCACGCTCATGTTTGTGTTTTTGTCCCATGCAGCTGGACCCACTGCCCAAGGCTGTCCTCGAGCAGAGGCCAAACCCCAACGCTGTTCGCTCTCTGGAGAAAGTCTTGGAGACTCACAGTGAGTTGACCGTTGCAGGAGCACACCTCATAACACCGATACCCACAGGGACAGAGTTTATTAGAAACCTAATCTGTATCTGTAGCTTCATAAACAATCCAAAGGGTTTAGCCTTCATGGAAGTAGTACGTGAAAGGCAAGCTGAGTAACACTCAACATGTCATTTCTCTGTGACAAAATAAAGTCTGCAACATTTTTATTAGAGAATATCTATTTTTACTTTTTTAAGATTCTCTCTGGTTCATTTTCGTGTGAGCTTCATATATTTAAGGTCAGCCCTCTTAATGCTTTACTTTTATTCACTTCCTCTGCGTTTCTTGTTTTTTCTCCCTCCTGTCTTTTATCTGCTCCGTCTTCTCAGGTAAGTACTGGCGCTCGGTGCAGCGCTACTCGCCGCGGCTGGGGCTTTCTTTGCTGGAAGCCAAACGAGGAGACTCGGAGGAGGCTGAGGCCGTCAGCGCCATGGCCTCTCTCTCTGTGGCCAACTCTAATGCCATGGAGCAAAGGTAAGGATCCAAAACCACAAGTAAACAGTGTTAAGAGCAATAGTCTTGACTTAAGAGTAGTTATACACTTTACTGTTGCCGGGTTTAAAGGTTATATAAAGTCTCCAAATAACTCAAAGATTCATTCGTTTACTGATCAACTGCACGTATATTTTGTAAATATACTCCCTGGACTATATTTACAACTTTAAAGCCTTTAAAGAGATAACATAGATGAAATCATAGCGACTTTGTTTGTCTTTAGATAGGGTCAAAGGTCATTTGTAAAGCAACCTAAACAAAGAGCCAACAAGAACATTTTCTACTTCTTGTACCGTAGTGGATCCACCTCACCCTGTCCCCCACATCCTCCTCCGTCACACCAACCAACATGTGCTCCTTTACTACATCCATGAATCTTCTCTGTTCTGAACATCTAAGCATCAACTCAGCTTCCTGTGTTTTTGTCAGGGGCATCATCTCCAGACCACAGCAGCCCTCACTAGCATCTTGTAAATCTGCCCTTTCACTCTTGCTAAGGTCTTAAATTAATGTCATTTAATATTTAAATAACTGACTTCAGGATGCTAAAATGTCTGAAATCATCTGCATAAAAGAAGAAAAAAAGAATATAAGGTGAAAGCAGAGAGGAACTTTTTCCTGATGCTACCCTTTGTTTGAATGGCTTGAAGGAGAGATTTAGATGCATGGGTGTAGATCTACCTGCTAACAAGTGCTGAGTAACGTCCTGTTAGTGCAATTACAAGAAGCAATGTGTGCTATTTGTCAGAAAATAGCATTAAATGTGATCCAAAAGGCACAAACACAGTCCAGAGGTCCAGTTTACAAAGTTAAATTAGCTGACATACCATGCAGCGAACAGCCGCCACATCGACCACTTCAGGTCAGAGACGCGATCAATCATGCAAACTTTAAAGGCCTTTACACACCAGATGTGTAAAGTTTATGACCTATTTTTAATGTAGCCGTACACACCAAACGCACACTCAGCTCAAAACGCACTCGTACTGAATATACAATGAATATACAATCATATAGTAAAATAATACTATTTTAATAATAGTAGTAGGAATACTAATACTATTTAATATCAATCAATATTCACTATCAGACGCACAGTTGGACATTGTTTTGGGTCAACTGGCTCTGAGTTCAAACTGCTTCACTGACATCATGAAACATACGTGAAAGCGATCGTGACACAACTTTAACTGTAAAACATCAGGACCTGCTCATCGTTGCTTGATGTTGACTCAAGTCTTTTTCACAGTGCAATCTATGAGGACGAATGTCAGTGTGTGTACATACGTTACACAACAAATTTGCATCCAAACATTTGGAATTTCGTGGGTTTTTTGAGGGAGCTGGGGGACAGTTTGCAATGTGCTTGGTGTGTCATGGCCTTTAGTCTTAAAAACCTTTAAATGCCTCTATATCAGTAAAAAAGACCCTGTGTGTAGGTGTCAGGAAATAGCAAATAAGCTATCGAGACCAAAACTGTTTTCGTTGCCAGCTGCCAACATGTTTTTTCTGCTTTAGAGCTGTAGAGTTATTTTAACATGAGAGTCGATGGGAATTGACTCACTTTTGGAGCAAACCCCAAGTGGCCGCTAGAAGAATTGCAGTTTTCTTTCCACACTGGATTCCCATTCTTTCGGTCCTCGGTGGTGCTGGTAAAGTTGAGGAGGCATTTTGTTAATGACAGCTTGAGGTCTAGTATTAATATTTCTGTGTTATATCTCCTCAGCAGGTCTGAGGAGGAGCCCATGGAAGAGGAGGAGCCGCTGTAGTGGACGAAAACGTGAGGGTGTCACCGCGTTACCATTGACCTCTCCGGAGAACGCCTCTTTGAGCAGCAAAGAGTCTCGACTGATCCCTTCATTTAGTCCCCAATAACCCCACTCACCACGTCAGTCACCTTGATTGGCGGCCCCTCGGCCAAAAAAACGAGGGAGAGGGGGTGGGCTCAGCCTCAAGAGTAGGGAGCCAATCAGAAGACAGAGGAGGACTGAACTGGAAAAAACTTATTTAAACATACCGGCAAGCGCTCGCTCAGAGACGTTTTATCTGTCAGTCTTCGCACCCCCATGTTAGCCCTCGGCGGCTGATCAAGTGATCACGGCAGCGGGCGAGCGTATTTGGAGCGGAGCGATCGGGAGAGGGCAGGGGCGAGATCAGATCTCGTCACCGAAAGGTGCGATGACACTTCTGTGCAGAAAATACGGTGCTTTACGCGGCTGCCCTCTGACCACATCCAGTACGGACACGGGGACAGCAGACGTCCCCAGCTGTCAAGAGGCAAGCGCGGGGATTTGTTTTCTTTTTTTCTTGACTATTTTCCCTCCCTAAAGAAATGGGGGGGGAGGGGGGCATCATGGCAACCGAGAAGATAATTTTACTAAATGTGTTCACTGTGGACTTTGGTTGGGCCGAAGTTTGAGTAGGCTTCTACAAAGATTTTAACGGTGAGACTCCGTCACCTCGCCGGACCAGCCTGTTGTCGAAGGTTGACGAGTTAGAGGAGTGCCTTGGTGAGGGTCCGCTGGATTTCACGATTGTTCAGGAAAAGATTGCCTTAAGATTTTTCTCGCCGAGGAATCGGCCCGAGGGTGCGGGAGGCGGAGGAGAGTTTCAAGTCCTTTCTTGTGGGGGGGGGGGATGATGAAAAATATAGCAAACAATCGTTCAGCATGTTTACTTGGAACGTGACGAAGACAGCATTTATGTCTCTCACGGCCTCTCTTGAAGAGTTACTTTACTTTTTTTTTTGGATGGATCTATTTTTCTGTAAAAAAGGAAGAAAAGAAAGAAAGAAATGAAAGCGCTTTGTAAAGGTAGTTGCCAGCTTGAGTAGAGGAAAAAAATTAAAGGTGCAAACATGGAGACCTTCAAAGAAGGAATTAGAAAAGGTTTAGCCTTTAATGTAGCTTCCCTTTAATCGAAGTCGTCGCTTTGTAAAACGCATGCATTTGAGCAGAGAGGCCAGACATGTTTTTTTCTTTGTTTCTTTTTACCTGCAAGATATTTTGAATGTTATCCAAAAGAGAAAGCCAAGCAAGAGAAAGCCAAAGCATGAGTTTGGATTTACAGCAGCACTTAGCTCCACTTAGATGGCAAGCCGACAAACATTTCACGTATTGGCCCTTTAAGACAAGGCGCCCAATACCCAGTTCAATGTTTACTGATTTACTCCTTCACAGATCAGGTGTGTGCCGAGCCCATGCTTTGCCGGTTGGCAACTACCTTGGTTACTATTGTGAGCTAAACATCAGCCATGTATATTGAATTGAATATATTTTGAGAGGCAGTAATCGAGTATTGTCTTTGTTTGTATTTTACATGTATGATTTTCGCATCAACTTGTCAATTCTGCAACGTCAGAAGTGTGTTTGGTAAGCGTGTCCACTCCTTTTTTTTTTTTTTACTTTTTACTGTATAAAATTATTTTTCTAACTTTTTCATCCATAGATTTTGTTCTGTGTTTTTATCCGTTTTCTGAATAGTTATAGGGCTGCCATTCACGTCCTTAGTACTGTTGTTCTTTCTTTCTTGTATTTATCAGAACTAAGGAGCAACTCTTTCTTTCTTTCTTTCTACGGCTCCCGGAAGCCTTTCTGCATTTTCATCAATGATGTATTTATAACATGTACTGTTTATAGGAGATTTGTATATGGAGAAATTTATAAATGTACTCTAAACTAATGACAGCTATGATATTGTGAGCAAAAAAAAGAAAAGCAGTATGGTGTAAGATGTTACTCCATGAACTTTGAAAAAGCAGCATATTTAACTCGTCATCGACTGCACTGTTTTCCAGTGGTCGCTACGCGGCACCGCGGTTGACTTTTTAAACACCTACAGAGTCAAGACATTTGATCACTTTGTTGCCTAACATTTCCTCTGGTGCATGTGCGACATGCGCTTACCTTTCAACTGTGATAACACCCAAAAAACAAACAAAACGACGTTTAGAGGCCACCTTATGTAGCTAGCTGAGTTTTCTGTGGCGGGAAAAGAAAAGAAGGGGACACCTATGTCAACGAAAGGATTTCTTTCTTTTTGTTTTTCAAGCAGCTCGGGATGGAAAACATCAGCCAATCATTTCAAAGTCCTTCTCTAAGCATGTGTGGCACCATCATGTCCGTGACGTCGGTGTTTCCTTCTTCCTTTTCCTGCTTTGAACTGACCTGACACGAAGAGTAGATCGAATACATTCGAATGAGCCCCCATCTGTCAACTGCTTTGTTAAACACCTGATTAAAGACGACTGTCATGTTTATTTTTAAAGGGACTTTTCATCCCCCAAATCAAATGAGCGTGTTTTTCCTCTGGCCTGTAGTGATTTATCCAGTCGGATTGCTCCGGTGCGAGTTGCCCATTGTTGATGATATCAGCTGTAGACATTCCTGTGGCTTTTGAATATAATGGGACTAAAAAGAAGTTTCCTTGTGCTGCTCAAAAAGAGGAAAAAAGATGACCCACTTATACAAAAATATCCACAAATCTTGCTGTGAGGAGCTACATGTAGAAGCTATTTTCTTTCCACCAAAATACATCCACCATCTAACTGTGATTAGGCTTAGATGCCGTAATGCGGATGTATTTTTGCCCTCGCTATTTTTGTCAGTGGAGACTCGGGAGATCTGAGTTTCTGTTCTGACCCATTTCTGTATAAAATGGCAACTTTTTGAGGTTTTGGATGTTACAGTTTAGGAAATGATTAAAACTAATAAACAGGGGCTTACGTTCCACGGGTGTTAACACCTTACTGTTGCAAATATGACAGGATTGACAGGAGTTCACAATCAAAAATCAACAACTTCTTTTTAGCTGATTTCATGTTCAGTGGCTGTCCTGACACTAAACGAACCCAATATGAGCTTTAATACTATCTGCATACTTCTTTTGGCTAGCGGATCTAGTCAGTAGAAATAAATTATACATAAATTATCCATGAAGACGTTTGATTTTTGGAGGACACGTTGCTGAGTTTTTAAAATATCTTTTATGTCTTTGAGCATCACGAGGTGAGTCCCATTTTTTTTGAACCCCAATTGATTTATCAAAATTTCAACCATAATTATTTGCCATACTATTGGTAATGGCATTTATAACAGCCAATAAATGAGAATTTTAAAAAATAAAGAAGAGAAACACCCTTCACCAAGTTATGAGTGTTGACATTACATAGTGTGTCCACCAGAGGCCACTATGCAGCGCCACAAAGACAACCAGCTGGTTTGAGCATAGTTGGGCAGAGCATAAATAAGTACACAAGGGTAAATTTTTTTGTTTGTCCAAAAGAAAAACGTATATTGGCCAGTATATCACCAAATGTTGGTACCAGTCTTAAAAATCCTTTATCAGTCAGGCTATGGCCAGAAAAGGCTGAGTTTTCTAATCCCAGCACAGTCGGGCAGAGCTTAGACAAGTAAATAAATAAGTACACTTAACAAATTTTAGGGAAATTTCTTTTGGGTTTTTTAAAAGAAAAAAAAAAATATCAGCCGATATCTCAAAATATATACATTTAAAAAAATAAAAATAAAAAATATTGGTATCTGTCTTAAAAGTCCCATATCTGGCCAACTCTAGCCAGAGAAGGCCCAGCTGTCTACAACCAAAACTGGTCCACTTACAGCAGAATAATAGACGTGGATGAGCAGTAGGACAGGCCAGAGGAAAGAAATGTCTAAATTTGAGTTGATATAATTTTCTAAACTTGTAAGATTTGCGATTAAGTTGATATTTTTCATGTCTAACCAAACATTCCACTTGTTACTTGCTTAAGTTGTAGATTTTTTACTACTCTTTTTTTTTTTTTGCTGTCTGCTCGCGCCAAACTTTAACTCTTTGCATGGTTTGTGAGTCAGCATGCCTGCTTGTCTGTGTAACAAAAAGTGTATTTGCACAATAGAAGAAGAACACTGGAGGACTTATATATTTAAAAAAAACATAAAACAAACAAAAAAAAAACCTCCCTTGTCAGCTCCCAAGAGCTCCAGGAGGGATGTTTTTTTTTTCTTCCTCTCTGGTGGGCAAACAATTCAAAGGACTTTGTCCAAATGACTCCATTGAGAAACATTTAATATCATTCTTATTGGATAAGTGATTTCAAGCACTTACGACTTGTATGAACTGTGTTTGAGAGAAACGTGCTCTGCCAAACCTCTGCTACATTCAGACCTTAAAGACGCTCCCAAAGAATGTTCCTCTTTCAAAGATTTCTAAACGGGCACTGGAGAAATCAGTTGAGAAAAAGGTTTGGGGGGGAAAAGGGCATCGTCGTTTGATTGTCACACCCACCTCGGCCAGTTCTATACATATATATAACCACTGTGGCTCAAGAGCAATTCTTGGTTTACATGTAAATGGATTAAAAAAGTTATTTTTTGTTTGTTGTTTGTCTCTATTGATGAAAAATGTTATCTTTCTTTGGGACCTACGCTTTGGACATTTCATCTCTGACATCATCTATAAAATATATTTCTGAAAAATACGAGCGGCTCCAGTCGTGTTATTGGTTTGTCATCATTGACAGCATTGGGGTAACTTGTTGCTACCTCGTGAGGTTTTGACCTCAGTGACCAGGATTCTGGACCTAATCAATACAATCATTGGTGTCTGGTCACGTTCTAGCTGATGATGTTCTTTGATCACATAACTGAAATGATTACTCAGTCTGTGATAGTGCAAATCAATCCAAAATAATCAGTAGTATTGGTTTCAGGGTATCTGAAGAGCAGACAGTGGAGTCATGCTCTTTCTTGAGCTGAAAAATTAGCTGGTCACCACGTGACAGCAAGAAAGAGCACCACGAGAGGCATAAAGTCTCAGATGACTTCTCTCCGAGTAGTAAATCGAATTACAAAACCCAGTGTCACAAGTGTGCAGGCTGCATTTGGGCAAAGGCCAAGCAGTCACTATCAGCTGTGGTCAAACATTTAGTCTAGAACATGATTTAAACGTCAAAGTTTGAAAGATCAAAAACGCTGATAAATAAGAAATCTGGCATTCATCTGATTGCATTTCTGTATATAGCTTAGAAGCAAAATGACGTGCGGGGTCACAGGAATAAAAGCTCGTCAGTCGTCTCAAATCATCACGCGGTTTCTGCTCCTTCTCTGGTTTGCCTAAAACTTTAATACTGCAAAGTTCAGATCGATCTAATCACTGCTGATAGATCGATTTTGACATATTTACTTTTATGTACAATATTCTTTTATTTGCACTTGTTGACTTTTAATAGCTTTTACTATTGTTTAAAAACTTTACGTGAAATATTGGATTCCTCCAGGGCAGTGTAAGTCCAACAACAGTAGGTAGAGTAGCTCTCAAAACTGAATATGAATAAGCAAACATTTAACAATATTATTAAAATGGTTACCATTTCCAGAATTCTGTTCTATTTGGATTCAACTATATACTGATATTTTTGTTTTTCTGGTAAGGGTTGTCATATTTGCTCAATCCAGCATGTAAGTTGAGTGAAAATATAACTTTATTCACTTTTGTGATAAAATATTTTCTCAAAAATATTCTATATGCTTCATTTTGCATGCTTGTGAATTGCAACGATATACCATTCAAAAATTATCACTAGTTTTTTTATTTTAATTTTTATTGGTATGTTTTAATAGGTGTGACTTTACAGGACAGCTTGAATGTTTAAAAATATTTCATACTCAGCTATTTTTCAACGTATCTGTCCCACGTTACACATCCCACAAACACCAGTGAGAATTCCAGGCTTTTATCTTTAATAGTGTCTGACGTCAGTGTCGTTTTCAAACATTGGCTCAGATTTTAAGTCAGAAAAAAGAAAGGTAAAGGAGTTGGATGGACAATTTTTCAAAATAAATAATCTAGAAAAGTATTTCATATATAAAACTACAATTTCACAGCAATTATTATGTTTGTTCAAATGCTGAACCACATTATATTTGGGTAAATCTGGGCTCGTCGAGTGGAAAATGTTGGAAAGATGTGAGGATTTTAGATGGATTGAGCCTTAATGAGAATAGCATGAGGAAAGGCTTTCGGGTATTAATAATTAACAGCGAATTTAAAAAGGAAAGCTTGTTTCTCTTGGAATGAATAATAGCTGTGTAGTTATTAATTCATAAGAATATTTAACAATTAGTTTGGCACATTATAACAGCATAAAAGCTGGGGCGTTTTACACTACGATGCTCTCGACAAACTAAATAGAAATGAGGATATATATATCTATATATAGATATATATATCCTCATTTTTTTCTTTTTTTTTAATAGAATAAAAGTTTAAGATTGCTTAGTGTGCACTAAATGGGAAAGCATATATATTTGTTGTGCAATAAAATGTTGATTCTGATCATAGTATCAATACATTAAAGAGTTAATTTATAAGGTAACAAAGTCACATGCTACACGGTGAAATCTGAGCAGACATGGGGTAACCTGGGACAGTGTGAGCCAATAAAAAGATCGATTTAAAAGATGTCTTGAGATAACGCTCTTCATTCATAAGTGGACAGCTCTGCCGTCCAATGAGGGGCAGGCACTTCCCCTCACCGTGCAAACGCTGAGCTCGTATTTCCTCTCCGCCGACGGTCCCAGCAGCGGTGCGATGCTCACTCTCCAACCTTAAGCTTCATTTCTTCCCCCTTCTCTTCCCCCCAAGCGCCCTTAAAGCGGGGACACCTCGTGTCTTTTATACCTTTCTTCATTTTTCTTTTTCTCGAACAAGCAGCTCCAGGTTTTTGGACATGCCTAACATCGTGCTTTTTAGCGGGAGCTCCCACCACGACCTGTCCCAGAAAGTGGCGGATCGGCTGGGACTGGAGCTGGGGAAAGTCATAACGAAGAAATTCAGCAACCAGGAGACATGGTGAGTATATTTGGGATTTGCAGACTATGCTAGTTATCTTGACATTAACGCGTAACGGGTTTGTCTTCTCTTTTTGCCCTCAGTGCTTTGGCTCGGTGTCCCCATGTGGGAGGGTTAGCTTCTGGCTAACAATAGTTTACTATTCACGTCTACACGTGACTAGCTAACCACATGTAAACATAGCAGGTTAGCTTGCTAAAGTTGGGGCGTCCTTTATCGGACACCTGCGCTATCCTTATCATTGAGGACTTGTTTTATTACTTAAAATGCTCTGTTCACCTGTCTTGCGTGCGTTCAAAACAACAGGTGTAAACCAGCGTCACGTAACACTTTCTTAATGCCGTATTTTGTATCTGCGTCGCAAACTCCACAACGAGCTCGTGTCTTATCAAACTCGGCTTTGTAGCCATTTAAAGGGATTTTCTGTTAGCTAGGAAGACGCTACTTTTGAGAAGGGAACAGGCTGCTACTGCTGTTAAATAATTTAAGTTAAATTGTGGTTATTACGGTATAACTGAGTCAAGCCTCGCTCGTCGTTGTCTCGGTTAAAGTGCGCTGGTGTGCGGGGTCAACTACGTCCGATAATGGATGCTGGTTTACCCCGCTGTCATTTTAACACACTCTTGAGTTAGCTTGCTAACTTCATGGACCGAAATATGGCTAAACGCTTGTAAAGGCATCTGAAGGCATTGGCATACATTTAAAAAGTCCACAGCAGCCACAGAGATACGTTACATGTTAAATAAGAGCACAGCTTGTTTCTGCTGCCTCTGTGTATGAGGGAAGATAGTTAACTGTCCACTGGTTGTGTCACATGCGCTTAATTTGAGCTTATATCCACAATACCGAGCTCACCATTAGTTTATCCAGTGTCCACACGCATGCGTCGACCCTTGTTTAATAACTTTCAGCTTTCCACAGGGCTTTTATTACTTTTACTGCTTGTGGACTTGAATGTGTGCAGCCTGTCTGAACTCTCCTGCAGGATGATGACCTTTTGGTTTCATGTTTGCATGCTTGTGCTGACCCCGAGCTCTCAGCCCCCAGCAGCTTCAAATTCAGCACATATGGAGCTGCGTGGGCTTCTTTTGGACGGAGTAACACCAGAAATGTAGTGTCTTCATTTTTTTT